GGTGGTTCTCGAACTTTTTGGGCTCAGGACGCCGTTATGACCTTTACTGAGGACCCCAAAGACCTGGAAAGCCAATTATATCAATATTTCCCATATTGGAAACTAAAACTGAGAAATTTAAAAATATGTATTAATTAATTTAATAATTATAAGTCCATCTTACATGTTAACTGAAAATATTTTATTATATGTTATGAATAAACAAATGCAAATAAAATAAAATATTATTTATCATCAATAAAAGGTTTTATCATAAAATTGCAAAGCAAAAAGACCTAGCGAAAAGAGTGGTATTGTTTTGCATTTTTACAAATCCTTTTAATGTCTGCCTTCATAGGAGACAGCCATATTCTCATATCTGCTTCTGCATTCAGTCTGTTGTAGTATGTTTGTAGTATGTAGTATGTTTGGTTGAAATACATAAAAGTATCCAGCCTTACACAGGTATGTAGTCAGAAAAGACAGACGTATTTTGATAGACCTTTTTAGAGAGTTGTGGATATTCTTCTTGGGTACTACATCAAAACTCAACAAGTGGGAGTTTCTTAAAGATTAGCTACAGTGTACAATCTGAAACCTATCAATGAAGTTTTCATTCTCTGTTACATTAAATTGCATTGGTGTACCTTGCACTTTGAGTGGATCTTTCACCCGTGCATGAGTTTGTAACATTATGAATTGGTTTTGGAAGATGTTGATGTTCTGGGCTGTGCCCATCTTCCAAATGTTGACACATTTCATATGGTATATGATGATTAAAAATTCACATCCCTTAATATCACCGCCGACTTTATCAGAAAAGTCTTTACATATTTGGGGGAACCTGTCAAGCTCACAGTGGCAGATAGAACTTGGATTCCGAGATTTCAAATTTTTGCTTGAAAGCTTAAATTTTATAACTGGCAACAAATACTCTCAGCTGTTTTTCTTGAAGTTAAAGGGTTACTTTGTTCATTTTTGATAAAATAGCTGCCCATATTGAAGCCAGGCTAACAATTGTTTTTCTGTTTTTTTAAATTTCAGAATATTACAGGGATACACATGTTTTTGGTTACAAAGTTTGCTTTTGTACAGTTTGAGTCAAAGTTACAAGTGTGCCCTTCGCCCAGATAGCGTGCATTGTACCGGTCAGGTGTGAATTTACCCATCCCCCCCCTCATAACAATAGTTTCTCAATCAGTTGTTTTCTTCAAGTAAAAATGACATTCCGTGATGGAAGAAAGCTAGAAATGCTGCATTCCATCATAGCTCGGTATACAGCAGAAGTGCTCTGTGTATGCCAAACCACATTTGATTTAATTCAATTAACCTTTTCTTCCTTCTTCATCAAGGATGCTTCTAAGTAAAACGGAATTATTTTTCCCCACAAAGAGTGCATGGCAGGAAAGAATAAAGCACCAGCAGTTTCACCCGCCTTTGCTTTTCACTATCAGCACAAATACCAACCCGGTGAAACAGACAAATACTGCACTCCCAGGAGCAGGTGGGCCGCACTAAGAAGCGTCACCATGGACAAGCACGGGTGGTCCCTGCTGGGGAGGAGATGGGTCTGCCTCAGGAGCCCTGACACCAGCTCCGTCTCCCGCTTCGGCTGGGGGAATTAGTGTCACCCCCAGCCCCCGAGCCCCCTGTTTGGTTTCCTACCTCTGCCCCAGCAGTTGCCGCTCTGAGTGCGTGCGGTTGCCTGTCTACAGACCTGTTTCCCGGCTGGATGGACAGCGGGCACTTGGAGGGCAGGGCTTGGTGTCGCCAGTTCTCCTGGAGCAGAGTCCCCTGACAAGGGGCGGAGGAGGAGCGGTGTGGCTGGAAGGTGGAAGGAAGCGGAGGGCACCTCTCTCTCTTGCACAGACAGGAGCGTGGCAGCTTCCCCTGCCTCCGCCCTAGCAGGAAAAGGCCCGTGGAAGCCCTTCCTGCGGAAGGAGGGTGGTCGGTCCAGCCTGGGAGTCTTGGAGCGGGTCTCCCATCGGCTGGGGTCGTGAAAGAGCTGCATTAGACCCGCTGGCCGAGAAGGGCCCTCCCCAGTCAGTCCCTCCCCACGGCTCAGGCTCCGGCAGATTATTCCGATGAGGGGCAGGAGCGTGAGTGGTCAGGGAAGGGGCCGGGACGGTGGAGGTGAGGGTTTTGGAGGAGAATGGCAGGGGGAGGGGGCAGGGAGGTCAGTCAGCAGACGCAAAGGCAGGGTCCTTTGTCTATGCCGCTGCCTGCTCCCCGCAAACACTCCTGGCCCCACCTGGGAAAGGGGGAGGGGGTGGTCTTAGCTCATGTGGCCTTCCAAGGGCCAAGTTTAACACCAACAAAGGCCCAGCTGCCCGGCTGTTGTTTCCATGTAAGTCTGAGCACATTGTTGGAGGGGAGAGCTGCTTGTCACCTACACCCAAGGTCAGCGAGTGGCTGTGCCTGGTCCTCCCCGGCGGAGGGGGCAGCTGGTGACACTCTGGGTGCCAAGAACTTGCACAAGGTGGCTTCCCAGCCAGCCCTCTCCCGACACCCTTAGCCGTGAGCCCCCAACCTTGTTTCAGGGCCCTGGAGAAGCAGCAAGGACCCCCCCATCCCCGAGCCATCAGAGGCAATTTCCTGCACTGGCTCTGGTCTGAAGGTGCCTGTCTGTGTTGTCCACTTGTCCATCTGTTTATTCAATGAGCATTTATTGAGCACCTAGTATGTGCCAGACACTGCGCTGGTCACCGAGGATAGAAAATGAGTAAGACATGGTGCCGCTACTCAAGTTTCTTCCAGACTAGCAAACAGATGGCTTCAGGATTGTGGGTGCAGTGTAGGGAACGAGGGAAACTACTGGGGCTGCAGGGCCCGGAGAAGGAGCTCCCTGTGCAGTCGGAGGTGGTCAGGGAAGGCTTCCTGGAGGAGTCAGTGCTCCACTGAGACTGGGAGGAGGGGAGGAAGGGAGGTGGGGTGGGAGAGAAGGGCCTTTTGAGAAGCCTCTGCTGCTCCAGGGCTGTTGGAGGTCAGGGGTCAGGGAAGCTGCACGGAGCGTGACCGCAAAGGGCACGGGAGCCGACTGCAGGGTTTGCGGTTCCTCGTGTTGCCGCTGCAGGAAGAGGGTTCGGACAGCGACGGGGACGGACAGGCTTCTGCAGCAGTCGGTGGCGAGAGCAGCAAGGAGGCTGTTGTAATGGAGCCGGCAATATGCAGTGGCCCAAGCAGAGACCCTGGCAGGTCTGTGTGTGGGGGGCAAACAGGGAGACCCCGACAGGGCAGGACAGAGTTCAGAGCTGGACGGCGGGACTGCGGGAGGGAGGGAGGGAGGAGTGCGGATGACCCTTGATTTCTGGTTGGCCGGGCAGTGGCCGTGCCTTCTTTCTGTGACATGGAGAACAGAAGGGGAAGTGGGAGTGGGTGGACCTGGCCCCAGGGAAGGCGGCAGGCCGGGATGTGTCCCCACTGACTCACTCTCCCCTCGTAGTCCTCGGGCTAAGTCGCTCCCTCTGACAAAGGAGCAAACGATGTCTGTTCCTCCCGCCTGCCGAGTGGGAAGGAGTAGGAGAGCCGGGGAAGGGGACGAGGAAAGGCAAGGGGCTGTGTCCAGGGGCCCGAGGCCACCATGAGGCCGGCACCGGGGAGGGGACAGGGTGTGAGGTTCACAATCGTATCCCCAGGGCCAGGGTCGGTGCCCGGACGCAGGGGCCTCCCAGGTGCAGGAGAATGAGTAGATGAAGGGCTGGCTAGTGGGGTGCTTGGGGGGGCCCAGAGTCTCTGGGTCTGGCGGCCGGGTCGGGTGGGCAGAGCGGCGGATGGGCCAGGGCCAGGGCAGCAAGCGGCTGGCGGCGTGGGCCCAGCTCAAGGGTGAGCCCAGGCTGACGTTGGCCTTTTGCCCGAAGGGGAACAGACGTAGAGCGACCTGTCAGGAGGAGGAGTGCCAGTGTCCAGAGGGCAGGGCCTTCCGCTGTGGGCGCTGGGCTGCATCTCCTGGGGCAGCCCTGCCCGCCACCTCTCTCCCTCTGCAGACGGGGGCATGGCTGGGGCTCCCTAGCCTCCTGCTGCCGGCAAGGCCTCCCTGTGACCTCTGAGAGGGGTCAGTGTCCTGCTCGTCCTGCCCCAGCCTGGGGTGCTGGCCCATGACGGGACCGACTATAATAGCCGCGGGATTAACATAGCAGGCATTGTCTTTCTCTGACTATAGATCGGGTATTATGTGTTCGTCAACCACCCTAAAAATACCCCGGGAACAGGTGCAGCCCCTGCGGCACCAGTCCCCTGGGATCTGCCGGCTTCTGGCCAAGACGAAGGTTAGGGCAGGGGAGAGGTGAGTGAGTCTCCCTAGTTCCAGGCAGGGGATTTGGGGGCCCTAGATTCCAGGAGGCCCTCACAGAGGGGACACAGAGCATCTGCAGACCCTGGACCTCCTCCACGAGCACAGAGGTGGGCCCTGCTGCCGCTGCCTCCAGCCAGTCCCAGGAACGCTCACCAGGGGCTTCTTGCAACGCTGCTTGCGCCCTCCCCACACCCTGCCGTCCTCCCATCCCACGTGCACCAGAGCCACAAAGGATCCCTGCCACCGGGTGCTTAGCCCTCTTAGGCGTTTGCAGGCTCCGAGGCCTGGTCTCCACATTTCCTTGTGAGAGACACAGTGTCAGCACGACAGTCCCCGCCCCCAGCCGCTGCTGGCCCCTCCGGGCCTCCTAGTGCCCCTCACCGTAGCCCCTGCTCTCCCTCTCCACCTCTGTCCCCTCCAGACCCCAGTCTGGTCTGGCTGCTCCATCTCTCCCATTCTGTGGCTTGCGTCCCCCTAGGTGGGTGCTGGCTTCACTGAGTTGGTGGCCTCTGGGTGCACGGGCTTGGTGTGTGCCCCTGAGCCGTGTGCACACGCCTCTGAGCCCGTGTGCACACGCCTCTGAGCCCGTGTGCCTGTGTGTGCACCGCAGTGAGCACCGGCCCTGCGAGGGGTGTGCGTGGGGGGAGGGGGTGGTGGGGAGGAGGGGCAGGGGGAGGGGGCAGCCGGTCTGTTCTATTTTTACCGGCCAGTTGCTGCTGGCCACAGTTTTCATAGCCTCCCCCTGGCTCTGCCCCTCGCAGTCCGCAGCCCACAGCGAGGCAGAGGCAGCCCAGCTCCAGGAGGACTGAACAAGGTGAGTGTCTGCAGCCCAGGACTTCGGACCCAGGATGAACCCCGGTGGAGAACCGGGAGATTTTTTTTTAGGGAGAAAGCGAGGTCTTGTCTGTGCAATCGATGTAAACTGCCCCCACGGGCTGTGTCCCATAGAATGGTATCTTGCCTTCTGCAAAACCATCGTGAGAGGTGAAAACTTTTCCTGGCCATTTGGAGGTGTTCAGCTGGGAGCAGAATTCTCCACCAGGAGCCCAGGGCAGAGCCTGTTGCATCAAGTTTTTCACACCGGATGCCCAGCAGGGGGTGGGAGGGAGAGAGCCTGAGGGAAAGGGGCAGCATTGGGGAGCAGAAAGCCAGGGCGGGGGCTGCTTTTGGAAGTTTAGGAAGAGCCCGTGAGCAATCAGAAGGAGCAATGGCTTCAGCAGAGCAGAAGGGAGGGGCTGTGGCATGCAGGACCCTCAGGGAGGCGAGAAGACAGGACCAGAGCCCTGCTGACCAGGAGAACCATCTTGCTTCCTTGTTCTTTGTCTTTGCGGGACATTCCTGGCTCCCTCTGCTCACCCATCTGCACAGGGGGGACAAGAGCAGGGGAGGGCAGACTGCCAGCCCGGCTTGGCCCGGGGCCAACCCCTTTGCCCATTCCTGGCTCTGAGGAGTAGAAGCAGGTGTTGGGGGTCTCCCTGGGGGAAGGCAGCATTTTGGATTGAGGCCCAAGAGCCTGGAATGCACAAACCAGGGCCACATCTACAGCGAGACCCATGGCTGCCGGTGGGGAGGGTGCTGGTGGTCTCGGACTTGGAGGGAGGGGGGCTAAAGGTAGCAGCTGCCACCAGGTTTGGGAGTCTCAGTCCCACGGTGGTTCTGAGATTAGGCTGTGCCATTGTTCTCCAGATGGGGTGTGGGGTGTGGGGTGTGGGGTGTGGGGTGTGGTAGACAGCCACAGCCGCGGGGTTGGGAGCACGGCTTTGCTCCCAGTCAAGGAGGACAGGGATGCCCTTGAACTGGGGTCCAAGGTCACAGAGTGGGGAGCAGGGGTAAGAACATGAGCCTAACTAGATATTTGTGCCCTTGATTGTTAGGTGTGCACATAGATCAGTTCTTTCCCTACACACACACACACACACACACACGCACGCACACACACACACGCACACGCACGCACACGCACACACACACGCGTGTGCAGACACATCACTTACACACATATTTGTGCACACAATCTCAATCTCATAGTCTAGTGGGCCATCCTTTCCACCCTGCAGAGCCTCAGGGGAGGGAAAGCCCAGCTCTGAGCCGACCCACGGAGATTCTCCGCTCCTTCCCTGCAGTCGCGGATTTTCTAATCATCTCCTTGCACACAGTATCCTGGCCTCCTGGCCTCCAGGCCTCGGTGGCTGCTATCCGTATCCTGACTTCTTATCAGGTCCCGCTTATCTTCCACAGGACCTGTCAAGGGGTCCCGTCTGGTGGGTGTCAGCGCACAGGCTGGGCCTCTTGCCTGGCGCGGGACCCCTGGGTCTGGCATTTGTCAGTGGGGCAGGCCGGGCAGGCCCTGCAGCTCTGCAGGGGGCGTAGACCAGCCTCCGAGGGTGGGGCCCCACCCTGGTGACAGTGGGCTCTCTGAGGGACAGGGGGAGGCGTGACCATGGCCAGATGCCCACCAAGGACGAGGCACATGCCAGGGAGACAGACGCGAGACCTGCTTGGCTTGGCTGAGACCCCTCGCCCTCTGGAGACGGGCATTCCTGGAGGGTGACGAGGGACAGCCAGGCCCAGGGGTGGCTCTCCACCAGCTAGTGTTTCTTTTGGGCTTCCTCAGAGTCTCTGGGGAAGCGGAGCCCTCAGAACAGGCAGCTGCCCCGTACAGTCTAATTGCAGCCGGGCATCTCGGGAATGTATGCGTGGTGCCCCGGCTGACAGCTGAGACTCTGGGGTCATGCCCCTCCTCCTCCTCCTCCTCCTCCTCCTCCACCCCGGCCTCACTCTTCCCAGGCAGGCGGCAGAGGCAGAGGTGGGGGCCTAGAAGGCTTTGGAGAGGTGGGAGACTCAGGAGAGGTGGCAAAGCCCTGCTCACTGGGGCAGGAGGACACTTCCTAGGCAACAAAGGGGAAGGAGAGATTAGGGCAGAGGAAGGGGGGCTCTGGAATAAAATAACTGGTAGGCGCTTTAGATTCTGCCCTCCCTGCTCTGGCCAGGTTCCTGAACCAAGTATAAACTCCTGACCTTGAGCTCCATGCCTACCCCCGCCAGCCCCTCCCACCCCTCACTGCACCGCCTAGCTCAGGGTCCTGTCCTGCCTGGCGCTCCCCACCCCATCATCTCCTTCCTTCCCCTGAGCTTTTGCACAACCCCCGGACCCCCCATTGGCATGCTGATGCCCAGGCAAGATGGCGAGTCAGGCCTGGCTTGGGAACACCTCTCTCTGTAGCCTCACAGACCCCCTCCTTGGCCTGGGCCCCAGGGGCCACCTGGTCAGGAGGCCTCCAACCATGCTTCATGGCCAAGTGTCCTCACAGAGGACCACGGGGCTCTACCGTAATTCCCTTCCGCCAGGGCCATCTGCTCTTATTGATTGAATTCGCTTTGCTTCCAAGCATGATTTGGTTCCAACAGAGGATGCAAGAGCTAAATGTTCAGTGGAAAACCACTGATCCAACCCCTCATTCTGCAGAGAGGGAAACCCTCCCCGAGAGGGTAAGCACATACCTGAGTAGAGCACAGGATCTGCCCTGCGTCCTGGCGTGACCTCCTCCGCCCAGGGCCTGCCCGCTGCCCTGCCCAGGGGTGCGGGTCACCCTGCCATCCGTGTGAATGAGGCCCTGGAGCTCTGCCCTGTGTCCGGCATGCTCTCTGCTCCCTGCCCCTTCCAGGTCCCCCCCAGACCTTCTGTGACCACCCCTCGTCTGCAGGATAGAGCCCAAACCGCCTGTCATTCAAGGCCCATGGAGAGTGAGCCCCGCCCTCGCCTTCCAAACACGCTTCCTACAGGGTCCACTCTGCTCCCCCTGGGGTCGATCGGAAGCTTTCCCAGAAAGGGCCACACAGTAAATGTTTTAGGCTCTGCAGGTGACATAAGGTTTCTGTCCCACATTCCTCTTTATTTTATAGCCCTTTAGGCAACGGCGGGCTGGGGGCTGGATCGACCTGGGGCTGCCGTTTGCTGGTCCCTGCCCTGCATCCCAGTGCTGTCCTGACTTGCCAGGACCCGCTCTGATTTCCTCTTCCCGAGCTCTCACCCTCTCTCCCAGGCCGGGCTCCTGGCTCCCAAGGCCGCACTGGGCCCGGGGTGGGAATTTCAACTCTTCCTCACTCACCCCTTCTCTGTACCTCCAGGTGCCACCCCGCCACCACCGCCATGCCGGAAGTGTAAGTAGTCCCCGTCTTCTGGGCTGCGGGCAGGGGCCCCTTGGCTGCAGGCTTCAGCCCCAGAGCCTAGGCACCGTTTGTTCAGCGCCCGAAGCTGCTCCCCAGGAGACCAGATCCTAACACAGGGACAGTCCCGAGTGCCTGGACCAGCATTGATGGCTTCCCCGGGGTCTCCATGTGTCCCCCCAGCCTTTGAGCAGAACCCGCACCCCCAGGTTGCCCTGGGAAGCCCTTTTCGGCCTGTGCTTCAAAGTTCGCCTGTTTGCACTGATCAGATGAATCGCATGTGCCGGGCCGTGATCCGACCCTGGCCCAGTAGAGAGACAAAGCTTTGGGAATGTACCCACCAGCCCGGGGTGGTGGTGGTGGTGGTGGTGGTGGCGGAAATTTCAAGTTACTGGAACCCCACCTTGAGGCTTCCCTGACCTTCCTCCACTCCTGCCCAACCCTCCATGACCAGTACCTCCCAGTAAGAATGTCCAGCAGCCCAAGGGGCTGTTGGGTTTTTATTCCACTTTGCTGGAACCCTCAAACTGGGCCCCCTGCTTGATGCCTGATTTCTTTTGGATACACTGTCGTCACCTGCCTCCTCCTCCCCAAGCTGCTCTGCATGGGTCTGCTGGGTGTATAAAACACACGTCGCTCACACTCACTCTGTGTTTTGCTCTTCCCCTGTCCCGCCCGTGATGGCTGCCTGCAGCGAGGTGAGTGACATTTGAGTGTCCCTGTCCTGGTTCACTGTTCAGACTAGAGGATGGGGAGCTCTGAAGAGAGGAGAGGGCTTGGGTTGGGGCCTGGGGGGTGGGGAGGTGCCCAGTGGCTCAGCAGTTTCCCAGGAGATGGAAACCTTGGGGGAAGATTCTGGTAGTGGCGCTTCCTAGAGTCCAGGGAGTCGCAGCCCTGTGCACAGTGTCACGGGAGGGTAGTCCTGGGGCTGTGACTGCAGCAGAGCTGGGGGTGACTCTGTACCCTTGCTGAGCACAAGTCCTCCCTCACCTGAGTTGACAGCTCATCCAGTCCTGGGGGGACCATCCCGGTCCTCACAGAGCTAACCCTGTGCAAAGTCGCATTTGAAGGGAAAGGGGAGTGTCACTGGGTCAGTCCACCCCAGTCCTCCCTGATGGCCGAGCACTGAGGGAGGAGCAAAGAGACGTCCTCAGATCCTCAGATCCTTAGGTAACCTTGAACCTGGCTGTTCTATGCAGTCCAGATTTATTCAGGCTGCAGAGAACACAGCCTGTGCACAGACTAGGGATGGGGACTGCAGGGACAGTGCTGGGTGCTCAGGGGTGGCAAGGTGGGAATGAGCAGCGCCAATGGAGGGGACATTTAGGTAGAGAGATTCTCAGTGAGAATGGAACATGCTGTTTTTCAACATTCATATGAATTTCTGAGTTTTGCTGAGGCTCATCTTGAAGGGAGTGTCCACTGAGTGATGGTCGAATGTGGCCACCAGCTCACCAAGTGGTGGGAATCAGGACCGCAATAAAACGTTTGCCATGGGCCATCATAAACCATGGTGGCAATGGCTATGGTAACAGGCCATGTCTCTTGAAATAACACGTATCTGATATGTAGTAAAAACCTAGGCTTTAGGAGAGGAAAAGATAACCTACTGTACATGTCAGATTAGAAATCACACATTTAATGTACCAAAACTCATTTGTTTTCTCTCATGAAAACTGCTCTCTCAGAGCCTGATCACTCCGCTTTACACACTAGAACAACAACCTAGAGCCGTGCCCCCCCAGTTCACAGCACATTAGAAATGGGTAGGAGGAAGTCCACTAGCAGCACCAAGAAGCGACAACCTATGGCCCAGAGGAGACACAAGTGCTTGGAAGGCATTGCAGTCTCACGAGTTAGGGACTGAGCAGCCCTACTCACCTTCCCCACCCCTGAGGGACCACTGCCATGGGGCTAGGACTCACGAAGACTTATTAGAACATATCTAGTCAGCAAGAATATGTCTAGTATTTTTTTTGAGACAGAGTCTTGCTCTGTCACCTGGGCTAGAGTGCCGTGGCATCATCATAGCTCACTGCAACCTCAAACTCCTAGGCTCAAGGGATCCTCCTGCCTCAGCCTCCTGAGTAGCTGGGACTACAGACATGCACCACCACACCTGGCTAATTTTTCTATTTTTTTTTTTTTTTTGTAGAAATGGAGTCTTGCTCTTGCTCAGGCTGGTTTCTAACTCTTGAGCTCAAGCAATCCTCTTGCCTTGGCCTCCCAGAGTGCTAGGATTGCAGGCACGAGCCACTGAGCCTGGCCAACTAGTATTTTTGAGAAGAAGAGAAAACAGCATTTTGACATCTTACAAAGATTTATATGGGCAGTGTCAACATTTTAAAAAGTTTTGAGGTCCATATACATATGCTTCATTTATTTGAGAAATGCATAGCTTATTTCTCCAGCATGACATCAGAGATCATCAAGGTATGGCCATATTACTTCCCAGAGTACTAAAACATGCATTTCTTTCATGCTTTTCAAATGATTTGCAAATCCATGATCTCATTTTGTCTGTAATAACTCTGTGAGCTAAGTAAGGTTGGGTGGCAGCATCCTTATTTACAGAGGAGGAAGGAGCTGCCCATAGAGCCATGCGGCCCACAGAGTATCACACAGGATTCCAGTAGCAGCAGAAGCAGAATGGGAAGTGAGGGCTTCAGTCCCCAGGTCAAGGAGCTGACTGCAGCATTCTCTGAACTCGAGGGGCTAAATCACAAGATGATGAGCTTTTAAGGGACCCTAAGGCGAGCAGAGAATTCTGGGTAATGATAGTGAACCCCAGCTGGCATTTTTCTTGGTCTGGACCAGAAATCCAGTTCTACAGGTCCTACCTCACCACCTGTCTCCGCTTTCTTACCCTCAGAGAAAATCCAAGATCACCGCCTCCCGCAAACTCCTGCTGAAGGTGAGGCCAGGGGCTGGATGCAGGGGACAGCCAGTGGAGAGAGAGGGGCACAGTGCAGAGCCTGAGAGGGTGGGGGGTTATGGGAGGGTGAAAGGAAGAAGGCCAGAGTGAGGAGGAGGAGGCAGAGGGAGCCTGGCCATCATGGGAGCCAGTGCCAGGCTCAGGGAGTCAGTGGGTGGGAACCTCAAACTATGGATCCTGGCACCCCCCCTGGGTTCCTGAGGGTAGATGAGGACCAACTTCAGAGTAGGAAGCTACTAGTGGGGACAGAGGGACTTGCTTTATTTTGGTACATGTTTCTCTCTCTGGAGCTCTGCGGGCCCAAACAGACAAAACGTGGGTAAGAGGAAGACTGTGAGGGGCAGACCGGCTCCAGGGACCAAGGATGCCATGTGCAGTCACTCGGTGTCTCCCCACACGCCACCTGCCCACAGCCACTGCACTCACCTCCACACCGCACCTCGTCTCAGAGCTGGCTCATCCTGGGGCTGCCCCCTCCTTTTCCCCTGATGCGGGTGGGACACACGAGGGCCCGGGCCCTGGCTCAGTGGGTTTGTCCTGCCCAGAGCCTGATGCTGGCCAAGGCCAAGGAATGCTGGGAGCAGGAGATCGAGGAGCGCGAGGCTGAGAAGTCGCGTTACCTGGCCGAGCGCATCCCCACGCTGCAGACACGCGGCCTGTCCCTCAGTGCCCTGCAGGTGAGCCTTGCACGCTGGGCTGGGCTGGGGGCTCCCTGTGGGTGGCCCCGGGGACCAGCAGGTGGGAGCCTGCAGGAACACCTGGCTCAAGTCTCTGTAACTCACCAGGTGCTCTTCCCTTACAAGCTCTCACTTCCCCTCCCAGCCGCCTGTCAGGTGGTGATGCTAGATCCCACCCCACAGGGGCAGGAAGTGAGCCTCAGAGGGACAAAGTGACTTGCTGGGGTGGCCGAGAGCCAGGGACCTGGCTGCACATCAGCCAGTGTGGGGCAGGGAGCACGGAGGTGGCCAGGATTTGGGAAGCTCCATTTCTCCAGAGACTTGCCCATCCTTCCCCTAGAGTTTAGTCTTTAATGTTTTCAGAACACAGGTAGCTGTTTAAATGCCAGTGACTGCAAAGAAAAGGGACTGGAAGGAAAGATAGAAAAATGTCCCCAATTATCTGCAGGTGGTAGCAACACTAGTTATTTTTATTTTGTTCCTTTTAATACATAGTTTTCAAAAGGTCTATGATTAACTTATGTGCCTTTTAGCATAAGAAAACTATTTTTATTTATTTATTTATTTATTTATTTATTTATTTATTTATTTATTTATTTATTTATTTTGAGACAGAGTCTCACTCTGTTGCCCAGGCTAGAGTGAGTGCCGTGGCATCAGCCTAGCTCACAGCAACCTCAGACTCCTGGGCTCAAGCGATCCTCCTGCCTCAGCCTCCCCAGTAGCTGGGACTACAGGCATGCGCCACCATGCCCGGCTAATTTTTTGTATATATATTAGTTGGCCAATTAATTCCTTTCTATTTATAGTAGAGACGGGGTCTTGCTCTTGCTCAGGCTGGTTTCAAACTCCTGACCTCGAGCAATCCGCCCGCCTCGGCCTCCCAGAGTGCTAGGATTACAGGCGTGAGCCACCGCGCCCGACCTAGAAAACTATTTTTAAAGCAAACTCGCGCGTACAGAAAGGAGAGGAGAGGTTGTCCCCTGTGCACTGCCACCGTCCTGAGCCCCAGCGTGGAGGCGCTTGTCAGCTCCATGCCAGAGCCCAGGCTGGCAGAGGGGCGGCCGGGACAGGGCCAAGGGCGCAGGGCCTGGAGGCAGAGAGGGAGGCAGGAGACCCAGGGCTCTCCCCTTCCTCTCCACCTGCCCGCCGCCGCAGGACCTGTGCCGGGAGCTGCACGCGAAGGTGGAGGTGGTGGACGAGGAGCGGTACGACATCGAGGCCAAATGCCTCCACAACACCCGAGAGGTGAGTCCCAGGGCGGGCGGGGCTCGGATGGGGCAGCAAAGGAGGCCCCTCCGTCCGCAGGCCCTGGGAGGTGGCCACCTAGCAGGATGCTTTGGTGTCCCCACCCTGGCCCTGCAGGGCTGGCGATAGCCAGAGAGGATAAGCACACATGAAAGGCACAGCCCCCTCCCCACCTGCCACCTGGGCGCTTCAGCCTGGCAGAAGCCACCCTCTCTATTCGTGTGTCCACCCACACCACCAATCGGGTGCCTGATGACGCCGCCCTGCCCTCCGGAGGCCTTTCATGTGCCCGACACCCTTTGATCCTCCCTGCACGGGAGGACGGGGGAGGGGCTGCCATCTGCACCTTGCAGGGGAGAACACACAGGCTCAGAGTGGCGGAGAGCCTGGCCCAGGTCGCACGGCGGTGGTCCAGGACGGGTGCTCCCTCAGCACGGGGCGTGGGGTGCTGGCGCAGACCCTGCCGCCGGGGGGCACGGCAGGGCGGGGAAGGGCAGGGCTCCCTCTGGGCACCTGTCCAAGCAGCTGCAGGGGGCAGGTAGGGCAGGAGCTGGAGCAGCCACTTCGCTCCTTCCCACGTCTGCCCACCAGGAAGGGTGATCTGGGCGGTCACCAAGCTCCCCAGAATTCTCCCCAGAGGCCACACCCTGGAAGTCTCTCCGAGGTCTAGAACCTGCAGGTTTGTCCACCTGCCGAGCCAAGGCTGAGAGCTGCTTTGAGGCTCTCGGGTCTGACCGCGGTGAGGGGGGCGCCCTTGTACCCAAGGCCCCGGCGGTGGCCCATTGTCTCCATTTGTCCACTCGTTTGCTGTCCACTGGTCAGCAAACGTGTGGTGGCTATTTGCAAAGGAACGGGTGGGTCTGAGTGTCCCAGAGGGTCCGGCCTCCAGGCTGGGGACTTTGGAGTGTGGCTCTGGCTGGACCCCGAGCAGCCCGGGGCCCTCAGGCGGGGAGCCCTGAGGCCAGCTCCCCCCACAGTGAGCCCCAGCCCCTTCTCACCTGCAGATTAAGGACCTGAAGCTGAAGGTCATGGACCTCCGAGGGAAGTTCAAGCGCCCGCCCCTGCGCCGGGTCCGCGTCTCGGCTGACGCCATGCTGCGGGCCTTGCTGGGCTCCAAGCACAAGGTGTCCATGGATCTGAGGGCCAACCTCAAGTCCGTGAAGAAGGAGGACACAGAGAAGGTGAGGCCCCTCTCCTCCGAACCTTCCACCCCTGCTCCACCCGCCTTCCCCCGTCAACCCCTCACACTGCCTCAGGCGGGCCCGAGAGCTCCTGTTGGAGGCCAGTCAGCCTGTCAGACGGAACCTTCTAGAACCCTCTGGGAGACCAGTGTGGGGAGAAAGAAGACTTGCTCCCTTCCCTCAGGCTGCTCCAATCTGAGGAGGAGAAACTGGGACACAAGGAAAGGCAGACCAGGGACAAATTACAGATCTCGCACCCAGTGTGAAGAGGACGTGGAGATTTAGGGGAATGGGGAAGATGGCCGCCCCTGTCACTGCAGGGAAAGAAGACAGCCTTCGTCACGAGCACAGAAATCAGAGAACTGAGTTCAGCCACTCGGCAGCAAATCGCCCAAAGTCGGTCGAACTCACAGCCTGTGTGCTCAGCGTGAGCAGGCCCCGAAGGAACAGTGAAGACAGGAAGCTTCATAAAGGGAGGGGATGAGCCAGGCAGTGTGCCGACCAGATCGAGAATGAGGCTGGGTGCGGGGGCTCATGCCTGTCCTCCCAGCTCTTGGGGAGGCTGAGGTGGGATGATCACATGAGGCCGGGAGTTGGAGACCAGCCTGGGCAACATAGCCAGACCCCATCTCTACCAAAAAAAAAAAAAAGAAAGAAAGAAAGAAAGAAAGATGAGCCAGATTCGTAGGCGAAGTCTTCTTGGAAGAGGCGCCTCGAGCTGCAGAGTGTCAGACCAGGAGCCGTGGGGCGTGAAGGCAGGGGTGGGCTGTGGCACACTGGGGTGGGGACTGGCCCCACAACCCGGCCACCGTCACCCAGAACTCCCAACCCCATGCTCCCTCCTTCCCGTGGAGCCTCCGCTTGGCCCGTGCCCGCCGTGTGGCTGCGTCCTGGGCCCTCACCAGCCAGGGCAAGGGTGCTACTGGGATTTCCCGTCTAGTCCAGGAGGCTGATCTCCTGCCGCCAGTTTCTCCTGAGCTGGGCCCTGGCCGCCCCGCCAGCCCAGCCGGGTAAGTCCCCCCGTGTGTGCCCTGCCCGCAGGAGCGGCCCGTGGAGGTGGGCGACTGGAGGAAGAACGTGGAGGCTATGTCCGGGATGGAAGGCCGCAAGAAGATGTTCGACGCCGCCAAGTCTCCGACCTCCCAGTAGAGGTACCAGCTCCTTCTGCTCTGGGGCCCAGCAGAGTCTAACAGACGACCAGGGATGCTGGGATGAGGGCTGGGAGTTGTGCCCAGTGTGGGGCAGGGACAAAGCACTGAGGGTTAGGGTTAGGGTTAGGGTTAGCACTCCTGGGCTCAGCCCCGGCTCCAGCGCTGTGGCACCTTGGGCACCATGGCAGCTTGGGCATGTCATTTCTACCTTGGGGCCCTTTTTGTTCCCTTCATCTATGAAATTTGGGGTTTGCATCAGGTCAACAGTGCGCCAAGTATGGTCCTCTGCAGCACCTGGGTGCAAGTGGTCGGCCCTCACCCCAGACTCCCCGAATTGCAAACTCTGGGGTGCGGCCAGCTTTCTAGGGGATTCTGAATCCTGCAGAGTTTGAGAACCGCTGGATCAGATGATCCCTGGGGTCCCTCCAGCTCTGACTTTCTGAAAATCTAAGTGAGCTGAAATACTTCCCGACAATATCCTTAATCAGTACACCCTGGGAAGTACCCAGCACGCTCAGTCCTTGCTCCCAGAACGCCCTGTGGCAGTGCTGGGAGAACCTGCGACAGTGCAGGGTCTACTGGAAGCCAGTCCCGGAAGGCTTCTTAGGGAGGCGATGGGCCCGCGTCAGCCGGTAAAGGAAAGGGCGGGGCGGGACGGGTGATGGCATGACAAAAGCACAGAGGTGGGCACGAGCTTTGTGGGAGCCCCTCTGGCTGATGACCCGGCCCAGGGGTGCTGGGGTGACAAGCCCTGGGGACCATGTGCGCCGCAGGTAAGTCAAGGGCTCCTAACCTGCACATGGTCACCGTCACCGGGAACTGACGGCTTCCCACTGTGTCCCTACAGGCAAGCTCGCTGCTCCCGCTTCGTGCTGCTTCCTCCAGCCCGGCTCACCCCCTCCCTGTGCCACGTGTCCATGTCCGGAGCAGCCCTCCCCACCCCCACCTCGTCCCCCTCCTCTGGAGCTGGCATCCAACAGGCACACGAGAGAGAGGAGGAGCACAGTGTGTGAAGCCCTCACCCCTGCAGGGCGGGACTCCCGCCACCCTGTGGCCTAACAAGCAGAGGAGGAGGAGGAGGAGGCCGGGAGGGTGCCCTCCCTCCAGCCCCGTGCCAAGGCCCTTCGCTGCTTCTCTGGCATGTAGTGTCCACGGGCATCGCAACTGCTCCATTAAAGCCCAGTGTCCTGGTCATCCCTGCAGCTCTGACTGTGAGTGCTCAGAGGGGAGGGAGCGCCGTGCTGGGCGCCAGGCACCCTGTCCACAGCAGCCCAGGGTCCCAGGGGAGGGCTAATAGTCGGCAGCTGCTTCCCAGATCCCCCGGGGGTCCCTTCCACCCCTACCATGTGTCACACCACACACCCTCCCTCCCGATAATGATGCTCTGGTCACCAAAGCCGGGTCCTCTGGGAACAGACCCGGTCTCACCCCCGACTCAAGAGGGGCCTCTCTATTCAGAGCAGCTTCCCCTGCCTGGCTTCATGCTCTCCTTCCTCTGCAAACCCTGGTGCCCGCTGCGTGGGCCTGGCCGTTCTGGGCTAGGAGGTCAGGGCACTTCCAGCCCCTCACCTGGTCCTCTGGCCGGGTTGGGAGGGACACCTTGCAGTTCCAAGCCTGGCCACCAGGTGGCTCCTTCCCAGGGCTCTGTCCCCCTGCACTCCGTCCTTCCGCCTCTGCTCGCTCCACCTCCAACCCTGATCTCACTGTCACACTCCCGTGCTGGTCATGTCACCCAGGACTGAGTCTTTCCCCAACGAGGGCAGCCAGTGGTCTTTCCGGGGTCAGGTCTTTTCTGCATCCCACTGACATCCTGATGCAAAGCCAGGTGCCGGGCGAGAGCCTGCTGGGGAGCCGTGGGCGGCCGGGCAGCCCCCCACGCTGAGCAGAGTGGCCAGAGCGGAGCTGAGGTCTCAGGGCAGTGTCATGGCGACTCCTGAGCTCAGCCTGCAAGGGGAGCGGCTGGTCTCAGACTGGGGCCTTTTGGGTTTTTGATCCCCCCAGCACTGGTCCCAGGAGCGGCTGAGCTATCTGAGCCGCCTGCCCCTCCACTCACCGGACCGAGTCCGCATTCTGCCCTCGTATCCCGTGTATCACCCGCCACGCACTCCAGAGCGGGGGCCAAGTGCAGTGCCAGCTACTCCCTGGGGCGCGGTGTGGCACCCAGCAGCTCGGGGGCCCAGCAGCTCCGGGGGCATTGGGGGAAGCAGCGCTCTGCCCAGGGCTCCTGCCTCGAGCAGGTCAGATGGGCAGAGAGGCAGGCGTGTGCAAAGAGCACGCTCCCGCCACGCACACGGACCGTGGGCACAGACACACCCGGATCACAGACACGAGGGTGGAGAACCTGACGGGGCCGGTCCGGGCCGCAGAGCGTGGGGCTGGGCTTCCTGCCCAGGCAGCCGAGGAAACCCACCCTGCCCTGCCTCCCAGGGCTTCTCTGCCTGGCCGCGCTCCGAAGCATCGTCTCCTGGTTTTGCCTCTTTCCAGCCCTTTCGTAGAACCTGGCCCCAAGTCCCAGAGTCAGGTCTCAGTTCTGCCGGTCGACTGCTAACCTGGGGCCCTGGCAGGCCGGGGTGTCCGCCCTGCTCTAGGAAGGCAAGAGGCCAGCCCTGGGCCCGACTCAAAGACACACCCGGGTGCAGAGGGCCCGTGGGAGGAGGGGTTGGGGCCCACTCCGCACACCCAAGCCTATGGCCCTTTGGGAAGGGGCCCAGTCAGAGGCCTCCTGGAGGTCACTGGGTTCCTCCTTCTTCTAGGCAGGACCAGACCTGACCCACCTCCGTGGGGACGGAGCAAGAGCCAATGTAGCACAAACACATCCTGAGAACGCAGGCCGAGAGAGCCTAAGTAGATCGGGGAAGGAGAGCTCTGTCTCGGAGCTCTTTGGGGTGGGACAGGGATCTATGAAGGTGGCTGTTGTGGCCATGAACGGGGCCTGGGGTGGGAGGCCTGGTCTCTGGAGAGCCCTGGTTCCACTGCAGCCTCCTGTCACCATGAGGGCCAACACGACCCAGCCTGGACACCAGGCCAGCACACTCGGTAACAACTCACACGTAGGTGCCAGACACGGCCATGTTGTGCACCCTAACTCATCTAACTGCACAGTGACCCCGTGAGAAAGGTATGATTGCTATCCACATCTTACGGGGGGGGGGAAACTGAGGCACAGAGAGGTTAATGATTTCCCATAGTCACACAGCTAGTAACTGGCAGGGCTAGGATTCAACCCAGGGAGTCCGTCCGAGTCCACACTTTTACTCGATGTTGCAATAGTAACAACATTTCCATTATAGCAATAATAAACATTCTACACTAAATGCTTTGTCAGAATTATGTCATTACAGTCTCACAAAAACCTAAGCAGCAGGTAGGTACTGTTATCTCAAATTTCCCGACAAGGAGACGGAGGCGTGAAGGGTTTAAGCAGCTTACTCTGAGTCACGGGGTCTGATGGCTGCAGACCGGAGACTGGAGCCCAGTCCACCTGCCTTTGGGGTTGTCCCTTTCTGGAATCGGACTTGCCCCAACAGCGCCCAGCCAGCCACTTTCGGGAGGGACACAGCTGGGGTCAGGGGCCCTGCATGTGCACCTGGGGAGTCCCCACGTCCCCGCCACAGGGGGAAACGTCCCGGGAGACGCAAGTGACGCCCAAACGGGCAGAGGTGAGGTCTTCCTCCAGCAGTGGGGACTACTTGGGGCGTGTCTGTCGCTGACCCACACTCAGCAGCCGGTGGGCATCCCCTCTGCAGCTGGAAGTGGCCTGCTGCGCCTCCCTCCTTGGCGGCACGCCCCTGCCACCCCCGCCCCCAATGTCCCAGAGCCCTTGGGAGGCCAGCTGCTGCCACCCCTTCCCCATCAGCCACCCCCGCCCCCACAGGGCACGGGGGCCGAGCCCAGCTGTGTGTCCGGAGCCCACTGAACAGCAGGTGCGATCAGGGCAGGGCCCGGCACTCCGAGCTGCCGGGGCTAAAGTGCCCTGCCGAAGGAGGGGCCCTGTTAAACATTAGCCACAATGGCCCCCCACGAAGTGAGTCACACGCCCCACGGGGCTCTGGGCTGGGCAGCCAGGGGGGCAGCTTTGTTCCAGGTCAGTGACCAAGCTGCTAAAGCCTGGGACAGTTCATCGGGACCAGTGCAGATGGCAGTCTCCTCTCCTGACCCCAGCAGGGCTCTCTCCTTCCTCAGAAATCCCCAAAGCTCCCGGCCTTCCCTGCAGGTGGAGGCCAAGGGTATTCCCCTCCTCCTAGGACACGCACCTGTGCCGGCCCTCGGGTCGAGCAGAGGACGCCTCGATAACCCCGTAGCACTGGCACACACACTGCAGTCCATGTCTGGAGGCCCCGAGAGGGAAAGGCACTGGCTCAAGGTCGCAGACCTAGCCAGAGCTAGGAATTAGGTCCCCGGACTCCCAGTCTGCACAGACGCTAGGCGTGGGCAGAGCTGTGCTCTCCCAGCCAGAGGCAAAGGCCCGGAGGCCTGCACGGGCTGCCCATCTCTGCCCCCACCCAGCACCCTACCGGCCCCGCTGCTAGCGCCTGGGCTCTCCCACTGCGACACAGGCTGGGCGAGCCTGGCCCTCTGCCCTGAGTGCAGGAGACAGGGACGGGGGTCAGGGCGGGTGTTCCGACTAGCAGCCCCTGGGGGAGGAACGTGCGTGAATGCTCGTGGCAGTCCATCTGCAGGCGCGAGGGGTGTGCGGGCACTCAGTGTGCAGGGCCACGGCCTGAGTGTGACGGACACCTGTGTGCCCCCCTGGACTGGAGCCTCCAGATGCTTCCCTCCCAACTGGTTCTTCATGACCCACGTTTCAACTGCTCCACCCCACCATGAGGAAACCAGGGCCACAGGTGTAGTAAGATTTTCATAAAGCTCCGTATTCAGGGGAAAGGACTCTCTTTTGTTCTGGAAGCATGCATGCCTCAATTTTATTGCTGCAGGATTGCATTAGACTTTGCCTGTGCCGTGGGAGGAGGGTGGGTGGTTAATTGCTGTTTTCTGACGTTCTTACTCCACACAATAAAGTGGGGGCAACGCCGTTTCAGTATTTTTTATTAAAAAATATTAGTTTGTAGAAACCGAAAGCTGGGGGATTTTATTGCCCTGGATTCTTTAGGGTGTGGGTCTCATGGGCCATTCCCCTCTCGTGGGGACGAGTGGCAGAGGCGTGGCTGCGGCCCCACCACCACACACGGATGGGAACGGAACTGAAAGTCAGGGTGTGGCTTACGAGCCAGCTGGTCGGGGCCGGGGAGCCCCTGGCTCTCCACTCTGGCCTCCCTGGGAAAGGAGAAGCTCCCCATGAGTCTTGTGTCCGGGGGATTCCGGAGCTTGAATGTTTCTGGGGCTTCTTAGAACCTCGAGGGAGCAGAGGAGGTGACCTCTACCCCCAAACACTGGCTGGAAAATCCTGAAGCCCCCAGCCTTTCACCAGGGAATTCCCACCGTGCCCAGCCCTGCCTGGGTGGAATCTCCCCGCAGGACGGGACCAGCACACGCTGACAGTTTAAGAGTGTGTATGAGGCCGGGCGCGGTGGCTCACGCCTGTAACCCTAGCACTCTGGGAGGCCGAGGCGGGCGGATTGCTCGAGGTTGGGAGTTCGAAACCATCCTGAGCGAGACCCCCGTCTCTACTAAAAATAGAAAGAAATTAATTGACCAACTAAAAATATATATACAAAAAATTAGCCGGGCATGGTGGTGCATGCCTGTAGTCCCAGCTACTCGGGAGGCTGAGGCAGGAGGATCGCTTGAGCCCAGGAGTTTGAGGTTGCTGCGAGCTAGGCTGACGCCACGGCACTCACTCTAGCCTGGGCAACAAAAGTGAGACTCTGTCTCAAAAAAAAAAAAGAGTGTGTATGAGAAATATAAAATGCGCACCCATACCCTGGCCGCTTGTTTTAAGAACTAGGACACCGTGAACACTTTTGAAGCCCAATCATAATCCCTCCTCCCCACAAAGGTAAACATGACCTTCGATTTGGTGTCATTCTCCTTGTTCTCTTTATAATGTCCCTACACGTTTATAAATTCCTAAACAGTCCATTGTCGAGCTTCCCATCTTTCTGTAAACTTCAATGCATGCACTTTGCTTTTTCCTCTTCAGTATTAAGGCTGCAAATGCATCCCTGTTGATGCTTGTGGTTCCTTCATGCCCACTGCTGTGAAATGATGCAGTGATGAAAACGCCATCATTTATTCATTCCCTTTCCTGCTGATGGACATTTGGGTGTTCTCAGATCTGCAACTACTGACAGTGCTGCCTTGAGTACCGTGCGCCCCTCTTCCGATGCTCATGTGCAAGAGTTTCTTGCTGGGTGGCCAGGAATGGCATCTCCCCTGTGCTGAGCTGCACCCCTTACGCTCCTGCCAGCGACCAGGGCAGCTTCTGATGCTCCTCATCCTGGCTTTGCCCGACCCTGGAGGCAAAGGGTCCCGGGTGCTCAGAACCCCTCCACCTCGGCTTCTCTCCCACCCAGGCTCCCAGGGGTCCTCAGGCTACTCGCGTTTTCCTGTTCTTCCCAAGTCAAGAGAGAGCCACTCTACAAACCTCGACTAAGCACCAGCTCGGTCCGGCAGAGTGTCGAGGGGACGCCGCAGCAAGTAAGACATTCTGGGCCTGCTCCAGACATCCATGAGAGCCGGGGAGCCGGGACATGGACACAGATAAGGTGAACTGCCCCCAAGCAATCATTTCCTCCGCAGCACTCGCCCTTGGGTGCCATGGGAGGCACGCTGCCAGCTGTCTCCTGAGCTTCCCCACCCCAACATCCAGCCACCTCCCGGACAGCTCACCTGGCTGTCTTCAGCGACCTTACCTTCTAACGGGTAGAGGCCAGGGATGCCACCGACTGTCTTACAACGCACAGACAGGCCGCCACGACTAAGAGGTATCAGGCCAACGTGGCGATAATGCTGAGGTTAAGAAACCCTCGGTGGTCTCAAGTCACCCTCCTCCCCAAATCTCTCCCTCTCACACCCCCTTCTCATCAGTGGCACCTGCACCCCCCAGTCCCTCACGCTAGGGAGACGGGAGTCACCTAGATTCCTCCTCCTTCACCAGCCGCAGTCCTGACAATTCGGCCTCTCAAAGCTCTTGCCAACACCTTCTCCCCCCACTCTTCCTCACTGCCCTTGCTCAGGCTGCCTTCATTTCTTTCGAGGACTATAAAAAGCAAAAACAGGCCGGGCGTGGTGGCTCACGCCTGTAATCCTAGCACTCTGGGAGGCCGAGGAGGGTGGATTGCTCAAGGTCAGGAGTTCAAAACCAGCGTGAGCAAGAGCGAGACCCTGTCTCTACTATAAATAGAAAGAAATTAATTGGCCAACTAATATACATAGAAAAATTCAGCCGGGCATGGTGGCGCATGCCTGTAGTCCCAGCTACTCGGGAGGCTGAGGCAGGAGGATCGCTTGAGCCCAGGAGTTTGAGGTTGCTGTGAGCTAGGCTGACGCCATGGCACTCACTCTAGCCTGGGCAACAGAGTGAGACTCTGTCTCAAAAAAACCCAAAAAACAAAAACAAACAAACAAACAAACCAAAACCAGCCCCCTGAGTGGTCCCCCTTCCCATCTGACCTGTCGCCATACTGCTTCCAAAGTCTCACGGGCTTCCCACTCAGGGGCCATCAACCCTTCCCATTGCCCTCCATGTCCACATGCTCACCTTCAACTTCCTTCTGCAGGATCAAGGCTGACCAGCCTGCTCCTTGTCCCCAGCCTTTCCCTTCGGCCTTGCAAGGCACCCGAGGCGCCAGGCAGACAGGTCTCCCGTCCCACAGGCACCTTGCGCTCTTGTGCCCCCCCCCTCCGGTCTGCTGGCTGGAGGCGACCTGACCGTTGAGTCCCACTTACCCTCCAAGGCCCAACCTAGGTGCTCTTTCCTCTGCGAAGCCTTCCCCAAACCTCCATTAGGGCTAGTCCCTCCTGATGACACAACTTCATTTTTTTTTTTTTTTTTTGAGACAGAATCTCACTCTGTTGCCCGGGCTAGAGTGAGTGCCATGGCGTCAGCCTAGCTCACAGCAACCTCAAACTCCTGGGCTCAGGCAATCCTCCTGCCTCAGCCTCCCGAGTAGCTGGGACTACAGGCATGCGCCACCATGCCCGGCTCATTTTTTCTATATATTTTTTAGTTGTTTGGCTAATTTCTTTCTATTTACAGTAGAGACAGGGTCTCACTCTTGCTCAGGCTGGTCTGGAACTCCTGAGCTCAAATGATCCTCCCGCCTCGGCCTCCCAGAGTGTTAGGATGACAGGCGTGAGCCACCACCGCACCTGGCCACAACTTCAATTTTTAATCACAGTCTGACGTGAATGCTGCGTGTGTGTGTCTACCAGTGCCCTGCGCTGGCACCAGCGAGACGCTGAGACTGGGTGGCAAGGCCCAGGAGAGCCGGCGGTTCCAGCTGCCCCCCATCTTCCCATCCTGGGCCTGCCTCTTCCCTCTGGGGGCAGAGCCGCCACTGTGCTGACCTTGCAGTTCTGATTCCCAGGGAAGATCAGACCCTGCAGGCCCTGGCCCTCTCCCAGCCCACCTGAGGCCGATTCCGGAGAGGAAGCACCTGGTGCTGCCCTGCCTGGACTAGCTCTTAGGGGAGACAAGTGGTGTTTCAGCTGCCTCCAGTTGCTCCACAATTCTAGTCCCGGCTGTCTGCCTTCAATCTTCCCTTTGGGGGTGTGTGTGTGTGGGGGGGGTAGAAAAGCTGAGCTCCCTCTGCCCTGTTACACACCCTGCCCCACCAGCCCAAAGTCCAGCTCAGAGAGTGAGGGCTGTCTGGGACACGTTGGTGTGTTGGGGGGGCACTCAGGTGTTGGCTGAATGGAGTCTAAGGTTCCCTTTTTGGGAGGGGCTGGCTTCGTGCGCAGGGCAGAAGCAGCCCTGTCCTGTCCATCTCAGCAGGACCTTCTAGGGGTGGTGGCCCGGGTGGGTCCCCCGAAGTCCCGGAGCGGGAGGACGCTCCCCAGGAAGGGGCCAGCCCCCGACCAGACGTCGCCCGCTCTAACTTTCCCGCTGGCGTGTCGCTCGGGTTTCTCGGCTAAGCCGGGTTCCCAGCAGGGAGCTCATCGTGACCCCGATCCTCGCGTCCCGTCCCCGCCCCGCTCCTGGCACCCGGGCGGGCGGGACTCTGGGCGAGGGGGCGGCCCAGCGCCGAGCTGGTCCGACTGGTTCTGAGCAGGAAGTCTCCCGCCCTCGCCCCGGGCGGCCGAGCAGCCCCGCGCCGGCCCGGCGTCCGTCGCTCGGTCGGTCCCGCGCGGGCGGACAGGCCACCAGGCGCTGCGGCCGGGCGGGCCGGGCCGCGATCAATGCGGCTTTGTGGGGGACGCCCACACCCCAGAGGCCGCGCCCGGGCCGGCAAATCGGAGCGCGGCGGCGCGGGCGTGAGACACGCGGCCATGTGACCCTACCTGGGCGGGCGGGGGAGGGGCGCGCAGGTGAGGCGCGGCCGGCGGGGCGCCCAGCGACGCACGCGGCGGCCGCGGGCTCGGGCAGGCAGCATGTCTGTCAGCAGGAAGGACTGGTCCGCGCTGTCCAGGTGAGCGGGGTGGGGGTCGGGGTGCGCGCTCGGATCTCCTCTGCCTGGGACCCGGGCACCGGGGCGGAGCCTGGCCTCGCTGCCCCCCAGCGGGGACGGAACTGGGGCCAAACTCGGGGCCCCTCCCGGGACGGGGTGCGTACTCTTGCCTCTCTGTCGCTTCCTGTCCTCTCCTTGGGGCCTGAAGCGTCAGACAGGGTGCTTGGGGAAGGGGGAAGCCCGGTCTGGACAGCCCCTGCAGTGTGGCCACGCTATGGGCCGGGGGCAGGCAGGAACGTCGCGGGGACTGGGGAGGGGTTCAGGAGTAGCCGCCAAGCCTCGTTTCTGAAAGAAGCCCTGGCGCTGCTCCCGCGTCTCTGCTGGAGAGTCGCCAGTGGGCCTGGAGGTGTCCCTGGCCCCTCTTTGGGGGGCAGTAGGAGGAGCGCAGCCCTGCAGGGTCAGCGGAACAGGCGTCCTGAGCAGGACCAGAGGGAAACAGCACGGGGGTGGGGGGCCAGCTGCCCCCCATCTTCCCATCCTGGGCCTGCCTCTTCCCGCTCCAGGCAGAACCGCCGCTGTGCTGACCTTGCAGTTCCGATTCCTGGGGACAATCAGCCCCCTGCAGGCCCTGGCCCTCTCCCAGCCCACCTGAGGCCGGTTCCTGGCTAGGAGGCACCTGGGCTGCCCCGCCCAGACAAGCACTGAGGGGAGGGCCAAGCACTCCCCTCTTCCCACTCCTGGAGGGTCCAGTTCTGAGTATGGCTTTTTAAAGTGGCATCAGTGCTGGGGACTTCAAGATAGTTGCTGCCCCGCTCTGTGCTGCCGACTTTATTTGTGAACTGGTCCCCCCAAGAGTCAGGGGACCGGGTGTCTCATCTTGGTCTGCTGGGCGTCCATCCTGTCAGGCCCAGAGCAGCCCTGGACAGGGGCTGCAGGAGACAGCTCCCCTCATCATGGCAGGTGACTCTTCCTGGAGCCGTCCCAACCTCTCCCTGCAGGTACTCCTGCAGGCATCTTTACTCCTCACTCCCCCACCGGGCACGCCCCCATCCTGTCCCTAGGGAAACTGAGGCTCCTGCAGCAGCCTCAGAGTGGGGGTCCTACTTCTTTGATCCCTTAGGTTCTAGCCAGGTAGAAATTGGCCCCTTGGCTCTTCCCAGGAGGACATTTGAGGCTTGGCTTTTTCACGAGGTCAGGGCTACCTGCGCAGGTGCGGACCGCAACCCTGCAGTTGGGATCCCACAGGTCTGCCCCATCAAGGCCTCTTCCGCAGACTCTCCTGTGCTCTCAGATCTCCTCCTGCCGCCTCCCACCCTCCCCGAAGGGCTCCTGGGCTGCTTCCTTGTCTCAGACTCAGCCTCCCCCTAACAGCTCATCCCTCGGGGCCAGGGGCCACCTCTCCAGACCCAAGACCTCACACCACTCTGAAGCACAGCTGCCCAGTGACCCCACTGCAGGGGGTGGGGGCCCATGGGGTCTAGAATGGGGAGAAGGTAAGCTCCAAGAAGGGACTTGGTGCTCTGGACAAGGAGCCGGGCCGCTGTCGGGGTTGGACACACCCCGGAGAAATCTGTGCTGAGGGTGGGGCTGGCGAGTCAAGGTCTCGGACTCTGCATGTGGGTCAGCGTGCGTGGGGGGTGGCGTGGGCGTGTCTTTGCCTCTGGGTGTGGGCATATCTGGCCTGTGACTGTGTGCGTGCGGCACAGGTGTGGGCAAGCATGCGTAGGGTCTGTGCAGGTAGTGGGTTCTTGTGCTGCTGAGCTTGGAGCTTGGGAGTTTGAGCATGTTCAACTTGAACATGTGTTGGAGACCTCAGTCCTGTGCGTTGTTGGGTTAAAAATGCAAACCAGACACGACTTCCTCAGAGGCTCACGGTCTGGTGGGGTCTGTGTGGTTTTGGGTCTGAGGGGAGCATGCCTGGGTGTGCACAGGGGTGTGTGTCGGGGTGGGGGAGGCAGCCGGGGCGCTGGAACTTTCAAACTCGGAGCAAGGTCTGTTCTTAGCTCGCCTGCTGCCCAGACAGACACGGACCGACCGGGAGGCTGCAGGGGTGGGGCTGAGCTCCCGCGGGGTGTCCAGCGCGAGTGCCAGGGAAGCTCCGGGGAGCCAGTCCTGCCTTGGGAGCTGCCGGTCTGCCCTCCTGGCCCGGCCCAGCCCTCGCAGAGCCCTGTGGGCAGACGCAGCTGCTGCCAACAGTCGCCCTGACGAGGCACCTGGAACACAGGACCGCTCCCCGAGCGAACAAGCCTCGGCGGGCAGGCAGGAAAGGGCTGTGAGTCACTGTCAACCGAGCCTCCCTTCCTGGGGAGGACTGTGCCGAGGGCACGACAGGTAGGGGCCCAGGTGGGTAGCTGAGGGCCAGCCTGTAGCCCGTCCTTGGCGGTAAGTGGAAGTTCAGATGCTCCCGTCCCGGCTGGGGGCAGCCGTGAGCTGGCTGGCCGGGTGCCCTGCTCGGAGGCCTTGTCCTTTCCTCCCTGGACTGGCCCGGTGACGGGTGAGGCAGGGCCAGGCCTGTCTGCAGGGGGTGAGGGGCGGGCCTGAGAGTGCCTGGGACTGAGCAGCCCGTGGTTAATCATTCCCCTGCCTGGGCCTTGAGCAGCCCTGCCACCTCTGAGCACTGCCCTGGCTTCCCCTGATTCCGCTCCCTGGACCATCAGGGCTGGAAGGGACCTCAGCCATCACCCACAGCCACCTTTCCTGTGGAAAGGGGAGCCTGAGACCTGCCCTGCTCAGGGGCTGAAGACTGGCCCAAGGCCATGGCCAGGCCCCGGGCTCCCTGCTCTAGCCTCCCTTTCCCTACTCCATCCTCTGCTGTTTGCACATTATGTTCCTTGAGTCCCAGGGTTCTAGAAAACGCTTCTGGGGCAGCCTTCACACCCTCTCCCCACTTCAGCCAGAGGAGCTGGGCCTTGATCCGTTATATGATGGGCTTCTGTCTGTGATTCCATTTGGGAATACAGGTTCTACTAAACATAACATTTAACAACTACTGCACCTAAAACCCTGCCACCGGTTGCTGCAAGCTTGATGGAGCTTAGACTTCAGGGAGAAAACCCCCGGGGGAGAGGTCAGAGCCAGCTCTCCAGTGAGTGACAGGGCAGAATGTCCTTTAGAATTAGAGCAAGAGGACCCCTCCCCAAAGGACGGAGTTGGTGCAGTCAGGAGCGGGGGTGGGGGGGACGGCAGCCCCACATGGAGGCAGAGAGAGGGATGGGTGCTCCAGCTGCAGGCCAGGAGGTGGGGGGAAGGCTGTTGCGAGGACAGGGCTGGGGCAGCTGGTGGAGGGCAGGGGGGGGTGCTGTAGGCTCCATCCAGGGCTGGCTCTGGGGCTCAAAGGTCAATGATGCATTGGCCACTGGGCCTCCCCAAACCTCTGCTCTCCCAGGCTGCACCCTGAGCTCCTGCCTGTCCTAGGGTGGGGCACCCCACGCCTTCAGAGGCCCTCTGGGCCTGCTCGCTCCTTCCCTGGATGTTGAGCTATTGGGCTCCCACTCTGGTTTGGGGCCAGCCCTCGAAGGACAGTTTCCGGGCAGTTGATATCCTGGTTAAGGCTTGGAAAGCCGACCTAGTTTGAAATCTTGGTTCCTTCTTTTTATTAGCTGTGCTATCCTGGGAAAGCTATTAACCCCTGTGGGCCTCAGTTTCCACCTATGCAACATGGGGATAACACCCCCATCAATGGTGTTACAGTTAGCACTTAGATGTTAGTGCACTCACTTCTTCCTTTATTCCTTTATTTATTGATGATGATATTTATGGTATTTACCAAATGTTAAACATTGTCCTAAGCTCTTAATTCTTTATTATTGGGGTTTCAGTAACTGCACATGCTGCGGTCCCTCCTGGGGACTGACCTTTGCCTTCCCTTCCATTTCTGTCGATTTCCTCATCCGCGGAGGCCGGCCACGGTGCTTATCGGAGATAACATTTCTCCCCGGGGAGGGGTGGCGGGGAAGCGACTGGGGTTTTTCCGGGGTGTTGGGTGGAAGGCAGCCCGTGATTCCTGAGCAGCCAGGTGGGGACCCCGTCACTGTGGCTGGACAGTGGGGTGCAGTGCAAAGCTCTGGGGCACTGGAGGACGCCTGGGCCCTGCCTCCTGCAGTCCAGCCCTGGAGACCCCTCAGGACGGGGACCGGCCTGGGGAGGAAGTCACTTCCAGGGAGGCCAGGCTCTGACCGATCCCCTACCGTGCAGGACCCCTCACCTGCCTGGTCAGGCTCTGGCCCACCCACCGAAGCTGCTCTTCCCAGGGGACCAGGCACCTCTGTGCTCATGAGTGCACCCTGGAGTCATTGTCCCTTGTAGTGGTAACATTTGACTGAGGCCCTCGCTCTGTCCACGCCAGCACCTTCGCCTAGATGACCTCCGGGCTCCCTAGCTGCATGGTTTTTTTTTAAGAGACGGGGTCTTGCTCTGTTGCCCAGGCTGGAGTGGTGTAATCATAGCTCACTGTAGCCTCAGAACCCAGGCCTCAAGCCATCCTCCTGCCTCAGCCTCCCGAGTAGCTGGGACTACAGGCGTGCGCCACCATGCCCAAAGCTGGCTGCGGCATCTCGACCTCCTTTGCATTTCACGGGTTTCTTCTCATGCTGAACAAGCCAGAAACAGAACTCTTGACGTCCCTTTCTCCTTCCATCTTCACCCACCGTCCCACCAAACTCCGTCCTCGTCTGGTCTTTCCCGTCTGACGAATGGCAGCGCCAGGACTTGCTCTTGCCAAAAATCTACTTTCCCTTGATTCTTCTCTTTTCCTCACCCCCACCCCCCACATCCAGTCTATCAGCAAACCCTGTCGGCTCCATCTTCAGAACGGGTCCTGAATCTGTCACTTTCCCCCATCTCTCTGTCACCACGCTGGTTCAGGCTACCATGGCTCTCGCTGGGCAGTGCAGGCGCCTCCTGACGGGACCCCCGTCCCCTCTCCCCCTGCCCGCTCCAACTCATTTTCCACGCAGCAGCCAAAGAGATTAAAGCGTAGGAATCCCATCACGTCACCGCTCTGCGTGCACCTCTTCAATGGCTCTCCAGCACGCCGGGAAGAAAACCCCGGTTCTTTCCCTGGTCTCTGGGGCCCTCTGGTCACGCCTCCCTGGCCGGCGGCTCCCCCTCCTCCCCCGAATGCCCAGCTCCTCCCTCCCGGGACCCTGCACTCGCTGTGCCCACCCCCCGGGGCGCTCTGCAGCCGGGGCTGGCTCTGCCGGCTCCTTCTGGAGCAGGTCTCTCAGAGAGGACTTCCCCACCCTGTCACCTTCTCACGTCACTCACCTTGTTACACTGTCCTGTGGCTCTTAGCCGACGTCATTATGTTCCCATGGGCTGTGTCCTTGCTCACTGTCTGACTCTCCCCTGTCCCCGGCTATGTGCTCCACGAAGGGGAGGACCCTGCTGGCCTCCCCCTCCTGTACCCCAGCCCCCGCAACCCTGGCCGGCGCGTAGTAGGTGCTCAACAGGTATTCGGTTAGTGAAAGTTGGCTCAGTAAATACGATGCTGGACCTAGGAAAGAGCTGGAGCCATCGTGTGGCGTCCTCATTTTAGGAGGGGAAACTGAGGAAGAGAAAAGGCAGTGACTTGCCCAAGGGCAGGAGGATGTGAAACTGGAACCTCTAACCCTGCCTTGCCAAAGACTCCCCTGGGAATCTTTCCTCCAGGAGGCCCACGGATGCATTTCCTATACAATTTTCAGGTTTTTTTATTTCCCTTTCCCCCTAGTAATGTGTGTCTCCTTGAAGTCAAGGCTTGGTTGCCTGGCGATATCCCCTGGCGGGGGGCAGCTCGGTAGGAGCCAGGGCTGGGCGGTGGCAGTGGTGGCAGCTGAGAGAGCAGAGAGGGTGGAGAGTCCGGCATCCAGCGGTGGCCGGGGAGGCCGTACAGCCGCCGCTGCAGCCCTGGGAGGGAAGACGGGGCCTTTCCAGAGCCTTCCGATCTGGGCTCCAGACAGCCAGGGGGAGTCACGGGGGTGCCAGGGAAGGCTGCCCGTCACAGCCTGCTCCCCACCTGCTCCAGCCCTCCTACGCCTGGGCGAACACAGCCTCCCGTCCCCAGCAAACCCCGGACCTTCCGCCCTCTGCCTGGACTGCCACTTTCACCCCGTCCCCCAGGACGCCCCGGCCCAGTCTCTTCCGTGAGCCTTTCCTGAAGGTCCCGGCCCCCGGCAGCTGTCCTCTCGATCTGCAGAGCAGCGTCCAGACTTTGGCCGGGGGAATTACCGACGGACACGCTTCTCTTTCTCACCGGCCTGTCGGTATCTCCAGGGCAGAGACCCTGCCATGTCATTCTGTGCTTCCCCCGAGGATTCCTGACATGGTGCTGGCCCGTCCCAGCTGCTCAGCCAGCACTTACTTGCTCTTCGCTTGGGTCGGGAGGGTGAGCGGGTGGAAGGGGAGATGGGCTGGGGGCAGGTGGGTGCGATGGCAGGGGCAAGGGTGATGGGGACAGGCCTGGCCCTGGAGACATGGGTGTTTGGGCTAACAGTGGCTGGGCGTGTAGGCGTGTGCGTGAGGAATCGGTGGCCAGCGTGGTGGGGTCAGCTAGTCGGCGAGTGCCTGGTCAGCCCGTGAATGAAGAGCACGTGGGGGCAGGAACCGAGAGTAGGGCGGGCAGCGTCTTGCTGCTCCCAGACAGGGAGGGTTGTCTGCGTTTTCACCCAGATCCGTGGGCCTCTGTGGCTCCCTTCTTTCCATCAAGAGGGAGGAAGGGGCCAGGCGCGGTGGCCCACGCCTGTAATCCCAGCACTCTGGGAGGCTGAGCGGGAGGATTGCTCGAGGTCAGGAGTTCAAAACCAGCCTGAGCAAGAGTGAGACCCCATCTCCATAAATAGAAATTAATTGGCCAACTAATATATATAGAAAAAAATCAGCCGGGCGTGGTGGCACATGCCTGTAGTCCCAGCTCCTCGGGAGGCTGAGGCAGGAGGATCGCTTGAGCCCAGGAGTTTGAGGTTGCTGTGAGCTAGGCTGACGCCACGGCACTCACTCTAGCCTGGGCAACAAAGTGAGACTCTGTCAAAAAAAAGAGGGAGGTTAGGGACCAGGAACTACCTGAAAGTGAAGAGGAGATGATGTCAGAGTCATTTCTGGGTGTCTTATTTGATGAGTTTCCCCTTCCTAAAAACTAGGAAATTCTGTGGGGAATTGAGTGCCTGGGAGGAAATTTCCCCGAAACTGCCCACGAAGGGGCATTACCTAAGAATCCCAAGGCCAAAGGGGATGGGCGCTTGGCAGGTTCCTCTACTTCCTCCGGCAGGACCACGCCCACCCTGCCCCCGCCTCGCCACCCCCGGGAGGGGCCCCACGCCCCGCCCGGAGTCCAGAGTAAAGTCCAGTCCGGTGGTTCCCATCTGGGGCGACGGTGGCCCCCGGGGGACGTGTGGCAATGTCGGGAGACGCTTCCGGTCGTCACAGCAGGGGGACGGTGCTACTGGTGTCTGGCGGGGAGAGGCGGGGGACACCCTCTATCAGGACGGCCTCACACGCAGAATTTTCTGGGCAAAATGTCAGCGGTGCCAGGGCGGAGAATCCCAGGTCCAACCCCAACCCAGAAATGCAATAGCCTTGAAATAGGAACTATTAAACTTTAAAATTATGGGGTAGCCACATTAAAAAAGCAAAATTATAATGAGCGAGATGCGCACCATCTGGGGGATGGTCATGCTGGAAACTCAGACTTGTGGGGGGAAGGGAAGAAAGAGCATTTATTGAAACCTTAAAATCTGTACCCCCGTAATATGCCGAAATAAAAAAAAGCAAAATTAATTTTAATATGTCACGTGCCCCAGCACATCCACGATGCTACCATCGCAACAAGTGACCAGAGTGCAGAGTCACAGTGACAGCTCTCACCGGTCTTTGAAATGCAGGGTGCGTCTCCCACGGCCCAGCTCAGACCAGCCACGGATAGGGCTGGGGGGGCCTTTGGTGTCTGTCCCCGCGGCCCCACGGGAGACTGGCCTGGGGGGCGTCCTGGGTCTGCCCCGGGCGGGCCGTGCTGACCCTCCCTCCGCTCCCCAGCCTGGCCCGGCAGTGGACCCTGGAGGATGAGGAGGAGCAGGAGCGCGAGCGCAGGCGGCGGCACCGCAGCCTGAGTTCCACCACGGACGACGAGGCCCCCCGGCTCAGCCAGAACGGACACCGGCCGGCCGCCGCCAGGTGCTAGGGCCAGGGCGGGGGCCAGGGCATCACCTCCCCATCCTGGGTGGCGGGAGGGACTCGGCTGCCCCCGGCAACTGAGTGTGGCCTGCGTGGCCTGTCGGGGAATGAGACCAAGGGACGTGAAGATGGGCTTCCGGTCCCTCACCTCCCCCAGCCCTTGGTCAGCCCTGCCAGCTTCCGCCCTTGTCACAGCTACGGTCCCTGCTGTGAGCCGGCACTTTGCTGGACGTGTGGACACGGCTCTCTTGGTCCTCACGGCATCCCTGCGAGAGCAGGGTTGCTGACCCATCGCACAGGTGGAGAAACTGGGCAGAACCGCACTTAGGCGCCTTGCCGTGTCCGTCCGCCTGAGCAGCGGCAGGGCCAGGGTTTGCACGCAGGCCTGGCGAGCTCGGGGCCCAGCGCTTTCCGTGAGCCAGGCTGCCCCCTCCAGCCCCGGCCCTCCAGGACCCACTTCTGGGGCTATTTTGCCACCTGGCTTTGGGGACTGTGAGGCGAAAGCAGAGAAGGGTCTGGGACTTACCGAATGCTCCTACGTGCCGGGACCATGCTGGGCACTCTCACCAGATGCCTCTCGCTTTGCTTCCTGGCGAGCCCGTTTTGCAGATTCTGAAAACTGAGGCTCAGACAGTGAGTGACTTTCCCTGAAAGCCTCTCGTGTCGCTCCTGTTTCCTCAGGTCCCCCAGAGAAGGGAGCACGGGGTGCGTGCCCTGGGCTGCACTGGTACCTGTCACCCGGTCCGGCTGTCCCCAAGTGACTGACGGGGACAGAGCGTCAGAAGCCCTGGGTTCTGCTCCCAGCTCCCCTGCCAGTTAGCAGTGTGACCTTCGACCCGAACACTTCTAGTCCTGGTCTGAGGGGCAGGGGCTGCGTTTATTCCTTTTGACCCTTCCTGCCCAGCACAGGGCCTGGCACGTGTGCACTAGTTGCTCGGGGTTTGTTGATTGTTTCTGGACATGGCCTGGTTGGGCCTTACAGGGGCTTATAAACTTTCTTTAAAAACCATGGAGCGCCTCGTTCAAATGGCACCTTCAAGGCCCAAAGGGGGTGGACAGAGGGGTGGCGGTGGCAGGGGAGGCCCAGGCCTGACTTCCTCGGCTCTTCCTCCTCGGTGGCCCGGGAGGCATCTTGGTTGGGTTTGGTACACTCGGGGCCCCTCCCGCCCTGGCGTCCTGATCCCGCCCCTCTCCCGTCTTCCGACTCAGACTGCCAAGCGTGGAGGAAGCGGAGGTGCCCAAGGCCCCGTCCCCGGCCCCTAGAGATGAGGACGAGGACGTCCAGGCCATCCTCAGGACGCGGCAGGAGCGGAGGCAGAGGCGCCAGGTGCTGGAGGCCACGCAGGCCCCCGCCCGCGAGAGGCTGGAGGCGGAGGACGGGCAGGCGACGCGGCAACCCCCGGCGCCCAAGAAAGAGCTGGAGCCCCCACCCCGCCGGAGGCTGAGCCGGGAGCAGCGGGGGCCCTGGGCCCTGGAGGAGGAGGGCGCAGGGAGCAGCGAGCCAACAGGCAAGAAGAAGGGGGCTCCAGAGAAGACCCCGGTCCCGGAGAAACCGTCTACACCGGAGAAGACAGCGCCCGAAAAGAGACTCGTCGCAGAGAAAACCTCCATCTCCCAGACGGCGCCGGCCCCGGGGAAGACGTCCCCACCCCAGAAGACAGCGGGGCCAGAGGGAAGAGACGGCCCGGACAGGAAGCTGCTTCCAGAAAGAGCAGGCGTCTCCGAGAACACTCCGGCATGGGTGTTGGAGAAGACAGGGGTGACGGAGAAGAGGTCCGCCTGGGAGAAGAAGTCAGCCGCAGAGAAGACAGGTGTCTGGGAGAGGCCGTCGCCCCCGGGGAAGGCGGCGGGCTCAGAAAGGAGGCTGGTGTCTGAGAAGGCGTCCATCTTCGAGAAGTCACCGGCGTCGGAGAGGAGCCCGGCCGCAGACACCAAGCCGGCCCCAAAGAGGGCAGCGGCCGCGGAGCAGCCCCAGGCCCAGGAGCGGCCGGCCTCGGGGGGAGGCCCCGCCACCACGGAGGAGCAGAGGGAAGGGACCCCCGCTGGGAAGAGCCCGCCTGCCTTGGCAGAGCAGGGTGCGTCTCCGACCGTGGCTTCCCGCCTCCCACCGATCACACTCCAGGTCAGCAGTGCTCCCGTCCCTCCTCCTCCCTCCCTCCTCTCCAGTCCCATCCGGGTCATCCCTGGCTCCCCTGCTGCCTCCCTTCCTCCCACACGCAGGCCCTCTTCTCTCCCTGCCTGCTTCCAGCGTGGTGAGAATAGGTAACCGGCACGGGGACAGGCTGCTGGGGCTCACGGGCCCCAGCCGTGGGGCAGGGAGCACCGGGTACCCCATGCCACGTCCTCTTCCAGAGCCTGCACCCCAGGACCCCAGCACTCTTGGCGAGCCTCAGGTCCTTCCAGAAGCTCCCCTAGAAGGCCCTGCCTGGTGGCCTGGCCCCAAGGGACAATGTCTGCCAGCCACTCCTTAGCAGATAAAGGGGCAGGAGAGGAAGGCGCAGGGCTGTCCTTCTCTCCCCTCTTCCGCAGCTCCTGGGAAGAGCCCCGCGGGGCCCTAGTGCCCTGTGTGACCCGCCCCCTGCTCCCTCCAGGTGAAGATCCCCAGCAAGGAGGAAGACGCAGACACGCCCTCCCCCACCCAGCGCACCTACAGCAGCTCCCTCAAACGCTCCAGCTCCAGGACCATCTCTTTTCGGGTGAGAGCCCCGGGCACCCTTGTCCACCTAATCCACGGCAGGCAAGCCACGGAAACACGTGTTTGCCACAGCATTAGAGCCGTAGGTTACAGAGCAGGGAGGTCCTCTGGGTAGAGAGGGGCTGTGAATTCCCAAGGCTGGCCCGAACCAGACAGGTTGCATTCAATGAAGCAGAGCCGGTTGGAGACCCAGGAGCAGGGGTGTCAGTAGGTGTGAGCAGCCCCCTCTGGTGGCGAAGGCCAGTGCTGCGGGGAGGTGGCCGGGGCAGGGACAGCTCTGGGCTGCAGGAAACCTGCACCTGCCTCCATCAGTCTCTGGCCTCACCAACGATGACACTTGCCCCGGAGGGAGGGTGGGAGCAGGGAGCAGCGGGGCTCTCCCAGTGCTCTCTGCTCTGCCACTGCCCCAGAAGGACAGATGATGTGCCTTGTCCCAGTGTGGGTTCTTAGTTCCTGTGTTCACGGGTCAGTCACTGGTTCATGGACTGGCTGGGCATCGTGCCTCTAGCATGTGCCAGGCCAGGGTGTGCTGGAGCCTGGTGTCACGTGCCCCATGGGGAGCATGGGCAGTGGGGGGGCAGGCAGGAAAACATGGTCCCAGGCCCCCTGGGAAGGAGCCTAAGGAAGGCCTTCTGCCTCTGACTGGCAGGTGGGGTGGGTGGTTCCCAGACCAGATAAGGGCCTGTAACGAGGCTCAGCCGTGTGTCTCTCTGGTTAGGAGTTGAGCAGTGGAGAGGGTGGGGGGTCCGGGGAGGAGGAAGTGTTCTGAGAGCTCTCTCAAAGGGGGCGCCCACTCATCAACGCCTTTCCTTCTCGTTCCAGATGAGCTCCAAGAAAGACAGCCCAGAAACACCTTTGACCCGAAGGTGGGCGGCCTGGAGGCTTTGGCTGTCTCCCTCTGACTGTATTTTCTGACCACCTGCCACCTGCGTTCCTAGTGCCAGGCTGTGCCATAGGGCTCGTGAGGGGACATGCCCAGCTCAGTCCTTGCCCAGGGCTCCAGATCTGGCAGGGGGCGGGATTAGCCAGAGGGACTGACGCTGGGTGAGATGGGACAAAGGAGGGAGGAATCCAGGAGAGCCACTTGGAGGAGGCAGGCCCTGGGTGGGGCTCTGAAGAGGGAGGAGGGTTTAGTCTTGAGGTTAGGGGTGGGAAGGGGGGCTGAGCACCTGTAGTCCCAGCTACTTGGGAGGCTGGGGCAGGAGGATCGCTTGAGCCCAGGAGCTCAAGGTCACACTGAGCTGTGATTCCACCACTGCACCCCAGCCTGGGTGACAAAGTGAGACCCTGTCTCAAAAAAAAAAAAAAAAAAAAGTGGGACAGGGGAGGAGGGCTTTCCAGGAGGGGGAGGACCAAGAACAGGGTAGGGAGGGGCAGCCTCTGCCTCGACAGGCCTCGTGCAGGGGCCTGGGAGTCTGCGCGTTGACGAGTCCCCGTGCTCCGTGATGCTGACGCAAGCAGTCTGAGGGCTGAGCTTCGGGAAAAACCCTGAAATAGCAGCCGTACTTATGTGTTAGGAACTTCACCCACTCACGCTGGATTCGTCCACACCCGCACACTGACCAAAGCCTACCACGCTAGGCGAGGCCTGGGGAGGGGTGGAGGCCGAGGAGTACAGGATCAGTGAGACGGTTGCCGCCCTCCAGCAGCTTGCCCGGGACCACGAGACGCCAGCCACTCGAGCGGGCAGGCCCACGGGCGGGAACGCGGGCCGAGGGCTGGGAGCTCAAGCCGGGGAAGGTGTCGCAGGGCCACCGACGACGATCAACAGGGGACTTCGGGGACTAGTGGGAGGTTTCCAGAGGGAAAGCCGGAGGAACGGCACTGTAAATGGAGGGACGGCATGTGAAAAGGGTGGGGTGTCCCGTGGGCTGGCACATAGGCAGGTGGCAGGGAGGCGCAGGGACCAGGTCCCGGGAGCTCCTGTGCTGTGCCGGGGACTTTGGTCCCCATCCTGCGGCCGGAGGGGTCTGAGCCAGAAAGACATGGAGCGGCCTGGTGGCAGAGGGGAGGAGAGCGAGGGAGGCAGCGGGGGAGGGGGCGTGAGTGCTGTGCTGGGGAGGTGTGAGGGAGGAGCAGGAGTTTCTGATAAGTGACAGGGTGTGGGCAGAAGGGAAGAGGGACGGAGAGGAAGAGGCTTCTGATCCTGGGGACGTCCCTGTCCCACCGAAGGGGGGCGTGAGCGCAACCCCTGGGGTCCTTAGCCGGCTCCCTAACTAAGGGAGGACCAGGCCCCCTTTACCTGGTGGGGTGAAGGGGGCGGGCCTGGGCTCCCTGGGGTGGGGGCGTCTCACCTGGCTCGCCCTGTCTCCCCCTGCAGCGCCAGCGTGAGGCTCCCGGCCAGCGCGGTGAAGCTGGGGGAGAAGCTGGAGCGATACCACTCGGCCATCCAGGTGCGCGGGCTCCGCCGTGGGGGGACGGGGGGGGACCCAAGGGGCGCAGCAGGCGGCCCACACCGGCCGGCCAGCGCGGCTCAGCAGTCTGGGTTCCCCGTTCCCAGAGGTCGGAGTCCGTCAAGTGCCCGGGCCCCTCGCGCACTGAGTTCTTCGTGGCGCCCGTGGGCGTGGCCAGCAAGCGCCACCTGTTCGAGAAGGAGCTGGCAGGGCAGAGCCGAGCGGAGCCGGTCTCCAGCCGCAAGGTGAGGGCTTCAGTCTCCAGCCTTGGCCCTGGCAGTGCTGGAAAGCTCTGCGTTCGTGTGTCCGTCAGCGCTGGCAGGGCCTCGACTCGAGTCCCCCTTCGTGCTCCCGAGCCCATCTCCTTGGCCGTGTGCACAGCTCCCTGGGGGAGGGGCGGGGCTGACCCCGGTGTTTGTGGCATGGGCCGTGTGTGTGTGCGTGTACACGTGTGTAGGAGTGAGAGCCCCCCCATTCCAGGGCTCCGGAAATGCCTGGCTGCTGCCAGGGGCCCCAAACCCTGAGATGATGCCCCTCTTTTCAGGAGAACTTGAAGCTCTCAGGGGTTGTGACATCCAGGCTCAACCTGTGGATCAGCAGGACCCAGGAGTCTGGGGATCAGGACCCCCAGGTACCCTGTCCCTCCCAGGTGTCTCTTGCTGTGGGCCCTTTCATAATGGGGGGCCAGGGTGAAGGGGGCAGCCCCGAAACCAGCAAGTGGTTCAGGAGTGGAGAGGGTGGGGCGTCAGGGAGCGTGTGGACAGGCCTGGGGGTGGAACGCAGCAGAGAGGAGCATGGGTCTGGGTCCTTCACCCTTTCGGGAAGGAGGAGGACATCTGGGGTGGGGTAAGGGCCTGGGATCCCGAGCCCCTCGCTGCAGCCCTGCCTCAGTCCCTGCTCTCCACCTGACGCCCCAATCAGGAGGCACGGAGAGAGCCGGCAGCCACCAACAGGACTCCATTGGGGAGGAAACCAGACTCGCCGCTGGAAGCCGAGGTGAATACAGTGGGTGGGGGCCGGGCCCTGGGTGCCAGGTGGGAAACCCCCACATGCCCTGCCCCCCATGTGTGCACACACTCACTGGCCTGCGATTGCACAGTCCAAGCACCTGGAGCGCCCCGTTCCTGCTTGCACAGGCTGGTCTGAGCCAGCCTGGAGCACATGACAGAGCCCCCGGCTGGCTTTGCTCCCTGCAGCTCGGAGGAACCCCCCACCCTTTCAGCCAGGCTCTGACCAAGCGTGGGTGTGGGGCTTGGGCAAAGGCCTGCCTTCCTGTCTAGAGGGTTCCTTCTCCTCCCGGCCCCAGGAGGAGCCCCTTTCTTTGTCATAATAGACCTTTGCCCCACAGGTGTGACAAGCCCCGCCGAGAGAGACCTGCACATCTGCATCTCGGGGCCTTCCCGGCCCTGCCTGCTGCAGCACCACCCTGCCTCTCCTCGCCCCTGCTCCCCTCCTGCCCCTGGACCTGCCTGGCTGGGGCCCCTGGGGCAGGAATGTCCGTGAGACTCAGCCAGCTCCTTCCAGGCCCTGCCTCTAGGGACAGTGGTACCCTGGCACCCTGTCAGGGACAGTGGTACCCTGGCACCCTGTCCTGCTGCGGACGCTGGGACCAAGACCAGCCGGGGCCCAGCACTGGTGTGTGTCACCACGGTGGGGCCTCAGTGTCCTGTCCAGAGACGTCTCTCCTCCCTGCTCACTTCCAGGGTCAGGGCAGGGCAGCGGAAGAACTCCAGGGTCACCTGTCTCATCTGCTGCCAGCAGGTGCCTGTGACGTCTCCCTCACTGAGCCCTTGGTCCCTGGGGCCCGCTCCCGGACCCTGAAGTGCTCTCGGGCTAGACTGCGAAGGTGCTGCCCTGCGCCTTGCGTGTGCCTCTGCCCGCCTTGCCCCCCGTCCCCGCCCTGGCCTGCTGCCCCGGCCAGGAGCTAAGTGCCTATTTTGTGCAACCACGTACCTTTTCTGTGGAAAACCTGTTCTCAGGAAGGATCTGATCAACTCATTCACTCTCAGGTGTAAGCGACTAAGGATACTTAAAAAATGAAACCCTTTCTGGAGGCTTTTCTTCCTAACAAGGCTCATCTGCAGTGCAAGGACCGCCGTTATTTTCTTAGTCGCCCCCTCCCCCCCCCGCCTTGTGTTACGGTGATGGGCTTGTCACCCAGCGGTCCAAGCTTGGTGACTGGGGCGTCTAAAACTGCCACGTACAGTGCACAGAGCGAGGCCTGCCCCTGAGTTTGGGGAATCTGGGACAGACCAGACTAGGAAAGCCGGCCGGTGCCCCGTCAACCCCTTAAGGTTGTAGTCTATGGTGCTTTTTCTTTTCATCATTGGAACTCTCGCTCCCGGCTGACTGCTCTGCTTACCCAGGGCCAGCTGGGGTGAGAGCAGATGCAGGGTCCTGCTCGCTCCCCTTTGCGTGCCTGGGGGATCTCAGGGCTTCTTGGAACACATGACCGGGTCCCATGGGCAGATGCAGCCCGCCCCGCCCTGGGTTTGAGTCTGGGCGAGGGCCCCCGTCTTGGACCCCACAGTCCTGGGGACAGAGGACCCAGAGCCCCGTGTGCACAGACTTCCCTGTGTTCCCAGGCTGGCTCACCTCCAGCCTGCGGGTCTCCTGTGGCTGGTCCCCATGCCCGCACTGGGCTGGAGTGGTGGGACCTGGAGGCCCTGCCTGAGCCACACACCCCCCCCACCAGGCTGCAGCTTGCAAATGTGCAGCTCCACGGTGGGGTTGGGGGCCGTGCCTGGGCACCTCCCGGAGACCGGGGAGACTTGAACCTCCCTGGCTGTGCCAGCACCTGAGTCCGATCCTTCCCTTCTCGGAGCCCCAGGGTTTGAGCAGATGACCTCAAAGGACTTTCAAATGCTCATGTTCTACATTTTGGGAAGTCCCTTTGAAGGGTGAACTTTTCCAGTAAGCAAAACTGTCCCCACACAGACTTTCCTTAGTAGAGTCCTAGATGCCGTTGGGCAGTGGAGGGTCGCCCCAGCAGCTGCAGCCTCAGGGTGGCGGGGCCCTTTGTGACATTACACTGTCCCCAGGTGCCTACCGAGGGCAGGCTGCTGGGGAGCATATCGGGTGGGGCTGGGGTGACACCTCGCCACGGCTCCCTCTCCTTTGCATTCGTGCATCCCACCCATGAGGGCCTTGGGGACGCGGCTGAGAAACAAGGAGACAAATGCACACCAAGGTGACTTCGGCCGGTGACCTCAGTGCTGGTGACCGGCTGGTGGGGCGGGTGGGAGAGGCCTCTCGGAGCAGGAGAGACAGCGCCCCCTGGAGGCAGGACATCTGCCCACTCGCCACGCCTTGACCTGCCCTCCTGCTTTGCTTTCCTGCCACCGTGGTCCTGTGACCCCACGATGGCCTGTCATCTTGTGGGTCCTAAAATTTGCAACCACGGTTCCAGCACATGCTGCTTCCTGAACCGCTCCAGCTTTCTCTTCCCATCTCCCGTTAGCACTGGGAGGTGACTTCATACCTACTTGCAAAGACAGTGACATCCACAGTGGACTGGGAGCACCCCTGCTATGATGAGTGGCTGCCAGAGGGTGGCTGGGTCCCCTCGTTCACTAGCTGACTGCCCCACAGCTGTGCACAGAGCCCCTGCCTGGAAGCAATTAGCAGAAGCCTTACACGTGTGTGGTCCGTGAACACCAAGCACCTGCTAGGCTTTTCCCACGGGACCCTGGGGGGGGGGCCCTAAATGCCCAGATCCTCCCCCCAGCCGTCCGTGCAAGCGGGTGGTTGCTTGTTTGAAGGGTTGCTGGGCCTGCAAGGAACAGCGTCCTGCCCTCCAGTTAAGGGAGGGTTCAGGAGAAGCGATTCCTAAATTCCTGGAGGTTCCAGGCCAGGACGTAGAAGGAGGCTGGGCCCTGGGGGGCGAGGATGGGAAAGAGGGCTGATGACTCCCCCAGCCCCGGACAGCCCGGTTCCCTCCTCCCCATCCTCTGCGAATCTTCCCTGCGTCTGCCTCCTGCGGTCCCCTCTTCCCCAGGACGCTGGCCGGCGGGCACGTGGCTTCAGCTTGCCCTGCCACTGACCCGCTGGCAGCATGGAGGCCCACGTGGCAGGGATAAGCCCGGAGCCGGGGGAGCAAGGCCATTGGGTCCAGAGGCCACCAGGGACCTGGAAGGGAGCAGTCAGCTGAGTGATGGGGGGACAGTCTGATAGGGACACAAGTCCCCTGTGCGGAGGATTCTCTCAGGGACGTCCACGGTGGACGCTGCGTAGCCCAGGCAGGATGGAGAGGGACGCTGAGGCCTGGGAAGGCGGGACGCGTGGCCAGGCGAGGGGAGAAGGGGCACGACTGCTCGCCTTGTCCGCTGAGAAACACACGAGTGTGGGTCTCGGATGGGCACCATCTGGAAGTGCCAGGGGGCTCGTCGGCTGGGGTGGGCCTGGCCCGGAGGAGGCTGTTCCTTCTTCAGAGTCGAGAGTCAGCTCAGCTGCCACCACGCTTGCTTACCTCCTCTCTCTTACTTTCATCACGTCCTGAGCCCTGCGATGTGCGTGCACGCACACATGTGCACATACACATGTGGGCTGACAGTCCCTGGGCCCCGGCCTTAGCGATCTTATGCTCTAGCAGGTTTCCTGCATCAGGGTCCTGCGTTGCTTGACTTTAAACCCCTTGGGGAGTGACCTTCGACCGTCCTCATGCCCCCCCCCCCACAACCCAGCGGCCTGCTCAAGGAGAACTGCCCTTCTGGACTGAAAATTCTGCCTTGTGTCCGACCCGGAGCAGTTTAAGTCCCTTCCCCTCGAGGGGGGCCCATCCCCTGGCTTTGGGAATCACGGCAAAGACCCGCTTGGCAGGTGTCCTTCCTGAGGCCTGCAGAGTCCGCGTCCCGCCCCGGGTGGCCGGAGCCTGGCGGCGTCTGCGCCCATGGCCGCGTGGGGCTGGGCGCGCAGTGGCGAGCTCTCGCCCGCCGCCTCCCCGGCCCCGCTCCCCTCGCCTGCCCTCCCAGACCCGGCAGGCTGGCATCTGCTCTATCAGGGCTCTCAAGAGGGACAGCTGGTTTGTGTTCCATGCCTGTTCCCTGCATATCTCTTCTGGTTTTAAATAGCTTATCTGAGCAGCTGGAGGACCACATGGGCTTATATGGCGTGGGGCACATGTTCCTGTAGCCTTGTCCCCGGCACCTGCCAAAATAGCAGCCAACACCCCCCTCCCCACCACACCCCTCCCCCCTGCCTGTCTCCCGCTGCACATTCCTCCCACTGCGGGGCTGGTCTCCCCAGGCCCCAGCCCACAGGCTGCTTAAAGCCCTCTCCATCCCTGCCCTCGCCCAGTCCCTGCCCAGGCCCAGCAGACGCCTCCGGGACCTGTCGCAGCTGCTGCTCGGAGGTAAGGCCGGGGCAGGGCTCTGGGCAAGGGGAGAGCCGAGAGTGGACAGGGGGACGGGAAGGTCTCGGGTCCTGGAGCCTTCACCTAGAGAGCCTGCCCGAGTCCACTCTGAGCGGCTGTTGGCGTTGGAAAGACGTCCACGGCCCCTCCTGGGGGGGGCCACGCTTCCGAGGAGGTGCTGCCAGGACTGAGCTCCAAGGTTGGTGTGGTGGAGCGGAGAGAACACACGGCAGCAATCGGAGACCGGGGTTCGAGTCCTGAATCTGCCACTAGTGATGTATGATGTTACCCTAAAGTCTCGGGCAAGTCCCCTTCCCTCCCTGGGCCTCGGTTTCCTCATCTGTAGAGCGGGCTAGGTATTCTCTAGGCTCTGCCTGCTGCAAACACAATGACGTCCCAGAGCAAGTGTCCCTTACAAAGAAAAACATAAATGCAACGACACTCTAACTGTCAGGGACGCCCTCAAGTTGCTTGGTCCATACCGCTGGCTCCAGGAGAGGAAACTAAACCTCTCCCGGAGGGTCCTTCCGGAGCCCCAGAGCAGAGGGAGACCATGGCCAAGTCGGAGGAGTCTCTGTGGTCACCTTCTCAACGCCAGGAGCTCAGACACTGTCCCAGCAGTGGTGGGGACGATCAGGTGTCGGGGGCAGGCAGGTACTCGGGGGCCTTCTGGCTGACCTGTGAACCCCATTTGACCCCCCCGACCCAGCACCGTCCCCTCCCAGGGAAGAGCCTGAGCTGACAGCACTGGAAGGGCTGATGGGACAGAGCCCTCTGGGCCCTGGCTCTGGGCGCAGACCTTGCGCTGTGCCCGGGGGTGGCAGAGAAAGACCCCCTCCATTTCCAGCGTGTCCTGGGCGGGCTGAGGGAAGGGCCGGGAAGGGATTGCCTGGTGCGTGAGGAATGTCCCAGCACATTCCCAACGCAGAATGCAGCTGGGAAGCCACCTGACTCCCGCATTCCTCCCCTGACCCGAGTCTTACAGGGCAAGGGAGGAATCTGGGAGGATCCCGTTGCCTGCCGCCCCCACTTCCAGCTTCTCCCCTGCCCCCAGCTCTCCCGGTGGGCTGACAGCTGTAGGCGTAGCAAGGTCTCTGCAGAACGCTGGGGACCAGGACCGAGAGGCGGGCCTGTGCTCCCCAGACACCCAGAGCCTGTTCCTGCAAGGGTAGAGCTGGAGCTCATCTAGTTTATGGATAGGCTAGCTGAAGCCCAGAGAGGTTAAGTCACTCAGCGGGGTTACGTCACACAGCAAAAGCTGAGTTTTGAACCCAGAGTTTGGACCCCAGTGTCAGCATTGTTTCTGCCTTTTTCTTTAGTCCCCAGGGAAGATCCCTTGGCCGTGAGGGAGTTGGGCTGGAGAGCAGCCTGTGGACGCAGGAGGGGCTTGGACGCGAGGACTCGGGTTTCTCCACGACAGTCTCATTCCTCGCCCTGCCCAGTTTTTGACCTTCTCCCATTCTGGAGCCCAGGCTCAGCCCGCCCTTCCCCTTCCTCTGGCCCTGCCCTTGAGCCTCTGGCTGCAGCCCTCCTCCACCCTCCATTGTCTGCGGCTATTTTTAGGAGCCTGACGGTGCTCCCAGGAGCAGGGAGGGGAGTCCAAGCCGCTCCTTCCTCCTCTGAGCACTAGCACCACGCCTGCCCGCCCGGTGGCTCCAAACTGGTGGGAGGGCAGGGCCGGAGGGGAGAGAGAGCCAGAGGTGA